AAAGAGGAGAGAAAGAGGAGAGAAAAAGAGAGATGAAAGAGGAGAGAAAGACAGAAAGAGAGGAGAGAAAAAGAAAGAAGAGAGAAAGAGAAAGGGAGAAAGAGAAATAGAGGAAAGAGGAAAGAGAGAGGGAGATGAGAGAAAGAGGAGAGAAAGACAGAGAAAAAGAGGAGAGAAAGAGGAGAGAAAAAGAGAGGAGATAAAGGAGAGAAAGACAGAGGGGAGAAAAAGAGAAAGAAGAGAGAAAGAGAAAGGGAGAGAGACAGAAATAGAGGAGAGAGGAAAGAGGAGAAAGGGAGATGAGAGAAAGAGGAAAGAGAGGAGAGAAAAAGAGAAAGAGAAAGAGAGAAAGAGAAAGGGAGAAAGAGAAATAGAGGAAAGAGGAAAGAGAGAGGGAGATGAGAGAAAGAGGAGAGAAAGACAGAGAAAAAGAGGAGAGAAAGAGGAGAGAAAAAGAGAGGAGATAAAGGAGAGAAAGACAGAGGGGAGAAAAAGAGAAAGAAGAGAGAAAGAGAAAGGGAGAGAGACAGAAATAGAGGAGAGAGGAAAGAGGAGAAATGGAGATGAGAGAAAGAGGAAAGAGAGGAGAGAGAGGAGAGAAAAAGAGAGAAAAATAAAGAAGAGAGAGAAAGAGAAAGAAATAAAGGAGAGAGAAAAGAGGAGAAAGGGAGTCCGCCTTATGTACATTTCCTGGCAAAATACATGGGAAAATCCCTTTGGGGGAAATTCCACTTAGGCTTCGCTCTCCATGAATCCGCAGAGCAAAACGGACGTTGCCATTGGATTCGGAGTTCATCAGTATAGTTAGGAGGGGGGGGCACCTTTTGTTAAGTGGATCCTGCGGTCTTTAAGTGAACCTCCTTTCCCCCATTGATTTTGCTTGTGAGAAACCAGCTGCGAAGGTCACAAGTGGGGACCACGTGATCCCGGGATCCTCCGATCCTTGCCGAGCATGCAAAGTTTGATCGTGGGGACTGCAGCGGTCGCAAGCACGGGGACGGGTGGGTATGTGGCAACAGCCGTAAGCGCGAGGACCGGTCACAAGTCCCTTTTTTCAACTGTGAACGGCCATTAAATGAACAGTGGCAAGCCCAGAACCGCCGGTCGTGTTTTGGGAGCCGGAGACTCAGGAAAGTGGGAGGAAATTTAGAAATGCATAAAAGAAATGTATCCAGGCTAATGAAGCATTTAATTAATCTGCATAATGGTTCAAGTCCTGCACGGAATTTTGCTGGCCTCACTTAGTGGCCATTTCCCCCCCCCCCCGACTTTGCTTGTCTGAAGTGGCTGGGAAAGTCACAAGTAGTGACCACATGCTCCAGGGATCCTGCAACGGTCATAAGGAGGAGGACTGGCTGTTGTAACTTTCATCCGTCGCGAAACAAGTTGTTGTAAATTGTGGAATTCCTTTCATGCACTTTTTATTTCCTGGATCCATTGCAAAACATCCAGAACATGCAATCCAGAAGAGATTGGACCACCATTTGTCTGAAATGGCGTGGGGTTTCCTACTTGAGCAGGGGGTTGGACTAGAAGACCTCCAGGGTCCCTTCAAGCTCTCTTCTAATCTATACTTCTGCACAAGTCATCCATTCAGCACAGCTTTCCCATTATGTGAAGCAGACCCAAGTGCCTGCCCTACACGCACACACACACAAAACACGGCTAGTCCTTGACTTACGACCACGATCGAGCGCCAAATTTCCCTTTGCTAATAAGCAAGACACTTGTGAAATGGATTTTTGCAAAATTTTCTGGTCACGGTTGTTAACCAGATTGCTGCGGGTCTTAAATTGAGTCCTACAGCTGTTAAGTGAATCCCTGAAGTTGTTAAGGCAGACACACGGTCGTTAAGCGAATCTGGCTCCCCTCCCCATTGACTTTGCTGGTGGCCAAAGAGAATAACGTGACCCCCTAGGACTCTTCAACCGTCGTAAACACGAATCAGTCACCAAGCGCCTGAGTCCGTTCAGGTGATAATGGGGATTGCTGTGAGTGGGGAAAATTTTTCTTTCAATGCCGTTGTAACTTCGAACAGACACTAAACGAATGGTCGTAAGTCGAGGATTACCATGAAGCACCTCAAATGGCTTATTTTTGGATCACAGTTCTCTTAATTCCTAAGTCAGCAGGCCAAGCTGGAAGCGTCAGTTGTCCGAACTCATGGGTCGCATCTCTGAAACAAGCTTTCTGTGCACACTCAGGAACCCATGAGAGATCGGATCCGATTCCTCGCCCTTCGCCATTAAAATCCTTTTTTTGGGGACCTCATTTCAGGATTCGGAGGCTCATCTTCCCCTCAATATTCAGCTTTTCCACCGACTGCAAAAAAACCCAGAGAGGGTGATTTTTTTGATGTGTGAGTACAGGAGGTCCTCGTATTACGACCACCACCGAGCCCAATGTCTCCACTGCTAAATGAGACGCTTGTTAAGTGAGTTTTGCCCCGTGTTATGACCTTTCTTGCCATGGTTGTTAAGTGAATCACTGCAGCCGTTAAGCGAATCCCATGATTAGGGAGGTCGGAAACGGTGATCGCGTGAGCCCGGGATGCTGCAACCTTTATGAATACCCGCTGGTTGGCAAAACATCCCAATTCTGATCATGTGATCGTGGGGATGGTCGTAAGTGCGAGGTCCCTTCCCCCCCCAGTGGTGTTGTAAGGTCGAACGGCCCTTCAAGAAGTGGTCGTACGTTGAGGACCATCTGAGGAGTGAGTGAAACAGCTGCTTCCCCCTTCCCAGCCTCTCTGCATTTGAGCCCCCTAAATCTGTCCCTTTTTTGGGGGGGGGGGTTTCCAACCTTGGCAAACTCCTCAAAGGAGATGGCGTTGTCTCCGTCTCTGTCGGCCTCCTGGATGGTCCGGTCGGTGATGTTCTCCAGCTGGTCGTTGGTCACCTGGAGGCCCACCATCATTCTCAAGACCTAGGTGCGAAGAGAGACGGACGAAGCTGAGGGCAGCCAGAGAGAGAGGGGGTGTGTGGGTCACAGATACCCACCTCCGAAGTCCCCTCTTGGTGAAGGAAGGGACTTTACAGGGAAGGATCGACCCTCCATTAAGGAGAGAGTCCCTTCTGGACTCTCCTCTTGGTGCAAATGAGACCTTTGCTATTCTCACGGGTGGATTTGAACCCAGAGGCGGCCCAATCTGTTTTTCACCGCAAGGGGAGGACGGAGCATGGCTGGTTTTCGCCAGAGGCATCTAGATTTAAAAAGAGCTGAGGTGGCGCAGTGGTTAGGGTGCAGTACTGCAGGCCCCTTAAGCTGACTGCTATCTGCAGTTCGGCGGTTCAAATCTCACCGGCTCAAGGTTGACTCAGCCTTCCATCCTTCCGAGGTGGGTGAAATGAGGACCC